TTTTGGATACAATGCTGATGAAAAAACAAATTTCCTAGACTTTTCTAGATCTTTTCCATTGTTTATCTATTTTTATTTACTCATATATGTAGTATATATTTTTTTACATTTCAGCTTAAATTTTTTTAATGAAGCTTGTTGTTAAATATTTTGTTCTTTTAATGGATAAAAATGTGAGAAATGCTGAAACTATTATACATATATAAAGATGAAGAGCATATATATTTAAAGGAAATGATTAAAAAAAAAATGTGGGTGTTGTATAGCTGTGGTTTTAGCTCTCTGTCTCCCTCTTGTGCTTTAATGCTGAAATGACAAAACTTAGACAGCACCACCAAAGACAGCAGCTACATTTAGAGTAGAATAAAATAGAACAGAATAGAATATCCCATTATTGTCCCACAATGGGGACATTGTGGTGTTTAGGCAGCAGCAAAAGGTTATAGCAAAAGTGGTCACACAATGTGAACCTTTGAAAAGTGTGCCTCTTGCCAGAGGTGGCTAGATTTAACAGTCCTTAACGGAACTGTCTTTCAACTTCAGTCAAATTCCATGTAAACATGTGCTTTTGGATTTTTCTGTGCTTTCAAATAAAATCTGTTGTTCCTTTTGAGACAGCATGAAAAGTCATCTGAGTACAAAACAGAGAGGAAAACAACAAGAAACAGGACACTAAGAGAGGGACAAAACTTAGAAAAAATAATGTATGTCTGTTCCATTAAAATTTTTTGTATCTGTATCATGGGTCTGTTTTATTTGTGGTCTTCTCAATTCAGATGGCCCCCTGCCTGTCTTTGCCTAGGGCCCCAAATTTTCTAAATCCGCCCCTGGGTCTGAATGAAAATTGTCCCCACGCTCGTGCATGAATCGATTGTGTGTTTGTGTGCACTGTAGGTATATTTTCTACACCAACCAGTGTTTTAAATAATAAAATGCATCTATCACCGTCACATTTGATATGAAATGTTTATTTTCATTTTACTCAATAGATACAGCTTTTTGAGTAAATCATTGGCTTTTCTGTTGATCAGCTGTGATCTGACAGTGACTGCAATGATCAGAAAAAGTTTGAGTGAAGCAGTAGCTTTACTTCACCATGTTACGATGTTACGTCTTGGGTGTAAAGCGTTAACGATTAACTTAGTGGATTTTTTTTATCAGCATGATATTTTCATATATAAATAAGTTGAATGGAGTTGAGTTTTAATGTCTGTCTTTTTTAGAGAAACATGGCGGATATGGAGTGTGAGCGCGTGAGGACGAGATGCGAGTCTCACACCCAATGGGTGAGGGTTGACAGCCCTGCGACAGTGGTCACAATTCTGCTTCTTGCCACGCAGGAGTGGGAAAAAACAATGGAGGCGATAAATCAGAGACTAGTATTTATGTTTAATCATCTTGAAAATATACATATTTTTTTAATGGTTGATTAAGATCGCTAGATGTTCTCCAGCGCTACAATCAATGTTTATTTCCGTAAAGCAAGCTGGCCTGTGACGTCATTGCGTCCTCTATTGCGCATGCGGGTTACTTGGGTTGTAGGAATGCACAAACAGCTCGCATATATTTGGAAATGGGAACGGCAACGCAAAAAAATAAAAAACCCAAATAGAGCATTAGGATCTGCAGTGTGAACGTAGCCATAAACATGACCTTTAGTTTGGCAATAT